ATAGTCCTCTTGTTCTTCTTCTAAAGTTAATGAATGAATGATAATTTTTCTTCTCTTGTGATTTCTTTGTGAGATCGTACGAGCATTTGAGAGAGAAATCCCTAGGAGAGTGAGATTGGATCACCCACCAACCTTGGAGAAGGCCGGGTTCGTGGTTCCTTATTTTGTGTTTTCGCATTACTCCTCCCAAGCCTTCAGCCACTGGCCTCCAAGCCTTCCCCATCCACCCGTCAGTTTCATCACTGCCACCATAAAACCCTCCACCATCCCCACGGTCAAATCCCACCTGCCGGCCCCATCTCTCCCCTTCTTCTCTCCTTTTCCCTCCCAATGCATCATTTCCTAATTTAGATTGAATCAAAATTGGACAGATTTTGCATTCAAATCCAATTGATTTGAAATCTAAAATCTTTCTTAATTCATGAAATCTATTTTAGGAAATCTTCTTAATTAACTCCTATTTGAATTTCAAATTAAATAGGATCTAATTAAATATTTCCTATTTCCTAAATCTAAAATAAGAAACCCAATTTAATTCCTCAAAATTCTCTCCCTCATCCCTAGTGCCGCCAGCCCCTCTTGGATCCCCTTGAAAACTCTTTCCAAAATTCAAGTTGCTCTCTTGGAAAGAATTCAAAACTCCTTTTCTATTGGCCGAAATTCCCCTTCTCCCCACCTCCTTAAATATTTCCAAAACCACTCCTAAGTTGGAATTAAGCCTCAAGCTCTCCTCCCTTGCTGGCCGAAAACTCCCAAGGCTTTTGTGCTATTTTTCCTCCACAAATCCCTCCCAAACCCCATCCCACGTTGGGTTTCCTGCTCTCCAAGATTGCTGCCAGAAATTTCCTGCAACCATTCCTGGATTCTCATCAGCCAGAGGCTTCGAAACTGCTGCCTTAAAGGGACAGCTTGCTGTCCATCAGCTTCTGTCGGATTCTTTTCACTGTAGCACCATCGGAGAAGTCTCTCCTTGTCGTCCAGCTCCTCCCAAAGTCAAAATACCGACTTGTCGCATGGATGGCTGACCCAGAAACAGATTACGGCCTTGCTTACGACGAACACAGGTTCGTGCACATTCTCCATTCAACCTTCTTCGACGTCAACCCGAGAATCGACCATACGGTGGAAGATAATTCAAAGGGACAAAAGGGAGACGGAGAGCACGAAAAAAGAGGTTATGCTTTTTTCTAGGGTTCGTCGTTCATCTTCTCCTTCCATCGTTGCTGTTTGTGTTCGTTGATGCGCGGAAGGTGCAGAGATTGCACCGTCGCTTCTTCGACTCCCTCTGGTTGTCCGACTTTGCTCCTTTGCAAGAGGAAGGAATTTCACGCGTAGCTGCTTCAGCTCCTATCGCTGTTCGACTTTGCCTCCCACGCCTTGACCTGCATCCGACGCCGACCGACCCCGTCGGTCGACTCCAGCAAGTCGAGCCCGAACGCCCGACGCCAAACCCCTCTCCCCTGTGCGTGGCTTCCGCCTCCGAGCCATGCCCGATCGGGCTCTCCCTCTCTTTCTATTTGATATATCATATATAATATATATTATAATATAATGTTATATATTATATTATAATATATTATATAATATAAATATATATATATATTATACTATAATGTTGCACAAAAAAAAAGATAAAGAAAAAGAGAGAAAATTTTGAAGTGTCGAAGACTCCGGCCATCGTACCTTAGGTCCAACCGGGATGATTTGAAATTGAAGACATGCGCCGTCGATTTTTAATCCGGCCAGATGGTTTTAAAATTTTGAAGACCCGCGCCATCGATCTTAGATCTGGGCGGATGATTCCAAATTGAAGACCTCACGCAGTCGATCTTAGATCCTGGTGGGATGGTTTGAAATCGAAGACCCTATGCAATTTATATATATATATATATATATATATATAAGAGAAATTTAAAATTTTTATAATTTTAAAATGTGAGAATTTTAAAGATCGAAATTAATACAATTAACTAGAAATTTTTTTATTTTTGGTTAGTTGATTAATTAAATTTATCTTAAAAAAAATGCAGGAAAAGAAATATTATTTGCATTAATTAACATTGACAAATTGCACTCAAACTAAACTCTTGTGAATTCTCCAAAGTCCCTCCTATACGATCCCTTGCAGCTATCTGTGTGTTCTAGCATCTGCAACTGCAAGCCCTGACTGCTGCAATCATTGGCTGCGAACCTGCAAACAAATAAATGAGCAGTCAATGCATCATAAATAAATTGAATAAATCTAGCTACTACTAGTAAAACAAAAGTATTGGGAAGCAAGAAAAGCTAAAGTACTGAAAAACTAGTAGAGCCACATTGTAGTAAGAAACAAGTTATGAGCTCTCAAGAAAACAAATTAAAACACTAAAGCAAATTTCAAATCCCCGAAGTGTAAAAATCATAAAATCAAATCAACTTAACAAACAAATAATCAAACTCAACATTACTGGGCAGCCTGATTTATAAGAATTAGGTTGTAAGACCCATTACCCGGCAACTTTCTTAGGAAAGTCGTAAGCCCGATCTTAAGGGAAAGTTTTAGGTGAAAATTGACCTAACTCCTAACTCCCAATTAAAACCCCCGGCCACTTCTAATAGAAGTCGTAAGTCTGATCTCCGAGGGAAACGTTTAGGTGATAATACAGCCCTAGACTCCTCGCTCAGGCATAGACTCCTCGCTCAGGCATCTTAGTCTAAAGGATTAAGTTGTAAGACCCACAACTCGGGCCGCTTAGCTTACAGGGCTAGGTCGTAAGACCCACCGTTAGACAACTTCTAAGGAAGCCATAAGACCTATCCAACTGAAATTCTCGGGCATCCTAGTCTAAAAGGACTAGGTTGTAAGACCCACAACTTGGGCCGCTTAGCTTATAGTGCTAGGTCGTAAGACCCATAAATAGATAATTTCTAAGGAAGCCATAAGACCTATCCAACTGAAATTCTCCGGGCAACTCCTAATTGGAGCCGTAAGCCCCAAACTAAACAAACTATCTGGATTACTTCCTAAGGGAAGCCATAAGTCCTACCAATAATTAAAATTCGCGGGCAGCCTCGTTATAGAGTTAGGTTGTAAGACCCATGTTTGGGCAACTCAAAAATAGAGCAGTAATCCCTATTCTAAATCAAATTCTTGGGCAACTCATAAATAGAGCAATAAGCCCCAACCCAAATTAAACTAAAACTAAAATTCACACATCTCCACTTCAGTCTACTCGGGATCCCTTAGAGGAGGCAACCCGTGGCTGCTAATCAGATTCCCTGAACACTACGATCAATGATTATTAGTGTTGGTAGACTGAAACCTACAGTATACCCGGGACGACGGAACCATGGGATTTTGATCGGGTTTACCTCCACTTCCCCCATTATTGAGACTAAAAATATCTAAAATTTATTCATCCTTAATCGAGAGTTCTCTCTTACATAGTAAGAGGGGTAATTAACTATGAGTGCTTGCGCTCATAGGAAGTAAGAACCCCAGATCTATAAACCCTGACCTACCCTCAGGGGAAATCTGGTTAATTTCAATCTGACTTAAGGGAAATGGAATCCTATGGCTGTAAAGCGAGATTCGTGCATTCGTGCCATTTTTCTTGAGCCCACAGGAGTCTCGTGGTGAGTACCTTATTACCGACTGGAGAATCATGAAGCGTGAGGTTAGGCAAAAGTACCTCCCACCCTCCTTTTTCCCCTGACTCTTAGATCGGTGGAATAGACTGACTCAGGGTAGCAAATCTGTGAGGGACTATATTTCTGCATTTGATGATTTCATGAATCGATGCAATGGTGAGACCACCACCATACCTGCCCATATTCTGTCCATGTTTCGTGCTGAGTTGTGTGAGAATCTCCGCAACAAACTATTTGCTAGAAACATCACTACACTGGAAAGTGACTTTAGTTTGGTACTTGACCTTGAGGATTCTAAAGCTCAACATCCTACACGTCACCAGGATGTCAAATCCTCTTTTAAACCCTCTAGGAGCTCGGGCCCCTATGCCTCTACCTCTAGGCCGCTTCCTAACCCTACTAGCCGAACCACTGTTGGTTCACCCTAGCTCCTTCCTGACAATACAGGCAAGTCTCTAATCCTTGATTCACCTAGGACCACCTAGGGACCAATTGCTTTAGATGCCAAGGATATGGCTATATTGCCTCCCATTGTTCTTGCTTTCATAAGGTCATTATTATTGAGGAGATTACTGAAGATGACCTTGAGCATGAGGCTGACCTCATTCACCAGGTGGATACTGATGGTGAATTCTTTGATGAGGATGAGGATGATACTGATGTCATCCATTGCATCCAGAAATAGGACCCCACTCCCCTATGTGTGATGAGATGTGCACTGTCACACCCCCGATCTGTTGATGATTGGCGTAGGACTTATATTTTTCACACCTACACCAAATTGAAAGATAAAAATTGCAAATTCATCATCGATAGTGGCAGTTGCATCAATGTTGTCTCCGTCAGCTTTCTAATCATTATCTATTTTGCAACATAAACTTAAAAAAGTTAAATGACTTTTTATCTAATCATTACTTCAAAATAATTTAATTGAAATTAAAAAAAAAATTAAAATATTGAGAAATCAATTTTAAATGTAAATGACTAATTTATCTTTTGATTTACTAGAAATTGGATGAAAAATTTAGCCAAATCTCATTAGATGTTAATGATAATAACCCTAATAATAAGGTAATAATAATATTTGTGATATTGATAAATTCATTTATAGTCTAAAATAGTATGGAGTATGTTGCATCACATGTAGTGATGAGTAATTTTACAAGTAGTATGAAAATATTTGCATTTATGTCCAATTTCATTTTCTGTGTATTTTCAAAATTGCCGCCTTGTGGTATTGTCGTATCGATATATTTAGTTTAGATTACAAATACATTTCTGGATCGATTCATTCAAACATTTAAGTTGATCTTTTAAGGTTATTTGACATGTTATTAATATCTCCAAGGTCATTTCTGTGCTTTCTGTAGGTAATCAATCATCAGCCCTATGACCAGAAAGTGGATATCTTCAGCTTTGCCATTGTACTATGGGAGCTAGCCACCTCAAAGGTAACGTTGTTACAGTGTATGCATCTAACTCACCAATTATTTCAAGAAAACTTACTAATCTATGGAGTTGGCGTACAGATCCCTTATAATACCATGACACCATTGCAGGCTGCTTTAGGTGTGAGACAGGTTCGGTGCCTTCCAATTTCTGAAGATCTTTTTTTTTTTCATGTTCATAAAAGAATTGCAAATGTAATTATGCAATATGACGAACTGCTACATGCCAGAGCTTGTACAATCTCTACTTTACCCATATTGTTTTACAACCTGGCCCAACCCAGCTCTGCCAAGTAGGACAGGCTGAAAAAGTCGACCGGACCACCCCAAGCTAGCTGGATTTAGTTCTTACCTCAAACTCATACGAGCACTCATATATGAAACGGCCTTGAATCCAAGACAGTTGTAGTTAGAGTCAAAGCATCTAACTATCAGGTTAAGTTTGGTTGAATGATTTAGTTCAACTTTGCATAGGATGTCCACGACATGGGAAAACCTTGTTTTTCATACCTGACTTTTAAAGTACCTGTAATGTATTGGTCCGATTTTTACTTAAGATGTTCCGCAAGACATCACAACGGCATCTAATTCCTATATATTAGGACGCATGGGATGTTGTAAAAGGAACCCTCTCTTTTAAGCCCAATTGAATAAAGGAATTGGATTTCCTGTAAGCACGCTCCCTCTCCTACCACTCCTGTCTCTTCCCCCTCTCTCTCTCTCTTCCAAGAAGCTCAAGAAGAGCTCTTCTTTCTCCAAGAATTTCATAACAAGTGGTATCAGAGTCTCGTTGAGGTGATCTCGAGGTGGAGAAAGGTTCTTGTCCAAGAAAGAAAGAAGAGTCCGAGGAAAGGGCTCGTGGTCGCAGGCTGTAATGCCAGTAGCTAGCCAAGTCCTGGAGAACGCACGTGAGTGCTGAGGTGTAGGCATATCGGGGCGACGGACTGGTCGCAGGCTCAGATTGGTCCGAAGAGGGAGAAGGGTTCTGCTTGCAAGTGAGGCCGCGTAGGTGCGCGAGGCCGTGCAGATGCCTAAACGGGTCCAGGGTGAGCGGGCCAAAGTCGCGAAGCGGAAGTCGGGATCCTTGATTTCGTAAGTGCGCCCAAGGTCGTGGGTTAGGAAGAGCGGACGTGCGGGGCATGGCCAGCTGGATGCGCGAATTCGCGTGGAAGACGTGTGCTGGTCAAAGGTTTGTTCCTTCTCGCACAAGAGTGAAGATAGTTGCGGATTTGTGGTTGGATCGTGCACACTGGGGCGGGATCGTGTTGTGGATCAGATGCAGAAGGGGGCCACTGGAGTGTGGAGCACAAGATTGGGCAGGATCGGACCAGAGGCCGAAGATTCAAGATTTTTTTCTTGATTAAAGATTGTTTAGATCTTTTGAGATGGAGTCTTCGGGTCAGAATGAGGGAAATTCAACAAGTTGGGTGTTCGAATTTTATGTGTCGAAGCAGCAGAGATAATGGCAGGATCAAGAACCTCGGAGCAGATCATGCAGGAGTGCGCAAGAAGCGAGCACCGGACTCGGGATTTAATAGGTGGATCGTGTGAAGTCGTAGGTTAGAGCGTGCATAAGTACTCGGGGAAGACTGGCGAGTTGGAGGTTGCTCAGTACTGGAGCGCGGCTATGTTGTGACGGAGTAGGCGATGCACAAGGCACGAGCATGCTGATCACGGGAGGAATAGTGAGGGACGCAAGTGCGCGTGGTTTAAAATGCGCGGGAGCGTGAGCTGGAGCCATGGATTAGAACACACACTGGAGGCCGTTCACGAGTAGGATTGGGCTCGGTTTAATGGGTTTGCTCGTGGAGTTAGTGCAAGGAGCTGGTCGAATTGCAGCAAGCGGGTGATTCTTTGATCGTAAAATTGAACCAAGATGAAGATTGTAATATATTGGACCAGTTTTACTTGCGATGTTCCATAAGACACTACAACGATGTCTAATTCCTATATATAAGATGTATAGGATGTTGTAAAAGGTACCCCTCTTGTAAGCTCAATTGAATAAAGGAATTGAATTTCCTGTTAGCACGCTCCTCTCCTCCCTCTCCCCTCTCTTCCCTCTCTCTCTCTTCCAAGAAGCTCAAGAAGAGCTCTTCTTCATCCAAAAATTTCATAACAGTGCGCCCTTGCCTCTTCCAGTGGCCTAACTTTATAAAATCATACATGAGGTGGCAACTTAATATAAAATCTGCTATTTCAAATTCATTTGGCATGATTGACCTAATATTGACCCTGCTGACTAGTTTCAATTTTTATTATGAAGCAATCTGACTAAGGACCAATTTTTGGACTGTGCTTTAAATTTAATATCTAAGTATTTTACTTGTTCTCCTAGGGCATGCGTCCAGAGCTTCCAGAAAATATGCATCCAACCTTGTTGGACCTGATGCAAAGATGTTGGGAGACTCTTCCCGCTAAAAGACCATCCTTTTCTGAGATCATCGCTGAGCTCGAGGAACTCTTGCAACAGAGTCAGGTATGTCTGTAAACAGATCTAGTACTACTCTCTTTTTTGCGAGCTATTATTCTGTGCGTACATCAGACGGGAGAACCGTCCGGTTAAACGCTGGGTATACAACGGTATCGAGGGGTACCGAGTTGGGTACTCAGCAATGGGTGATGTGGCACAATTTTATTGGTCTCCAGACGCCCTCCAGACTCCGCACAGAATTATAAATCCTTAAACTTGGTGATAGATATGTTTCTGATAGATCACTGAGATTATTTTGTTCCCCTCGATTCTTTCTTTTCATTATGTCAGCCAAGTGGAGAAACTAGCAAACAAGAAAAGGATGTTTCAGAGCAATCCTGACTTGCTTCCACAACAAAAGCTGCCGAGTCTGCACATATTAGAGGCTTCCATTTTCCCATATGGCATCTTTTTTTTTTTTTCCTTCGTTTTGAAATGAAGGTTCGACTTCTACCACTTGCAGTCTCTGTGAATTTTGCCATGAAAAAGTAAATGGTGAAATCCTCGGAGGCCATTTGTTTGCTGACGCAGTTCTGATGATGGACCACAGTTTCAATGTGATTCGTGTTGATCTTAGCCGAACGTATTTCGCTTTTTTGACGGTTGTGATGAGGCCCAGCGGGTCGTCTAATCTTCGTATTTTTTTTCTTTCTTTTATTTATTTTTTTCTTTCTGCAGAAGAACCCTTCACCGCTCATATAGACGAATAGACTATTATTTGTGGCGGTTGTAGTTGTCAATAAAAATATTGAAAAAAATACTGTGGGAATTTTTTTTTTTAAAGTTATTATGAGTATCCATTTTTTTTCTTACAAAAGCATGCATGAAATTTTATGAGTTATATTGTCTTAGGGGACTTGATAAACATGATAAAAAAAAAAAAATTTCAATGTTTGTCTAAAGGATGCTCTTAATTCGACTTTGGTTAATAAAACTTGTTGTGCTTTGTTAAGTGTACAATATATTTTACAGCTTAATAATGCCGAGCAATTGGGAGCTTTCAAGCTTTAGCAATATTGTGACAAAATTACTCGGTCATAATCATTATTTAGTTGCTTAATTTGATAGCTGAACTATCCAATTTGATGACATGTTTTATGTTCTTAAAAGCGTGAATTTTTTTTTGGAGTGATAATAATGATAATATAGTGTTGGTGTTACTCTTAAATTTATCATTTTTATCAAACTGTTGTGAATAATGGATGAATTATTAGTTCAAGTTTGAGGCATTAGCTTGTTGTTTGAATATGTTACCCTTAGATTTTATAATATTCTTAGATTTTTTTTTATGGGAATTTTGTTGTAAGATTTGGGAGCATATTAAACTCAGATTAATATTTTAATATCAAGTAAAATTATTGTATTGAAGTTTGTGTAGCTTATTTTCATATTATTACAATTTTATTTGATAAGTTGTTTAGCTTGAATGTTATTGTAGTCAATGTTGTAATTCACACTCTTATAATTTTGCATATGGTAGATCATTTATATGGTGCTTACAAATGGCAACATAAATTTCAAAATTCATCTCTCTTTAGTATTTGCTTTAGTAGCTATGCTAAAACTTTATATCTAAAGAATGATGCTCAAATGACAAATACCCCCATTCTTCAAGCACAAGTGCTTGTGCAATATTCCTATTATGTCAATACAACATAAGAATCTCTAGAATTTTGTGCTAAAATACTCCATTCTTTGATAGGCTTTATTCAAGAAGACTTGAATCAATACTAGCATCATCTAATTAGCCCAAATTAGAGGGGTTAAACCAAATACTAAACATGAATGTTGCTCTAAATTACTTTTGAGAACAATTTATCAATGGTTAAAGTGCAATAATCCTCTAAATTCATCAATTAGTTACTATAAATTTTCATCATAATCATATTGCCTTTTGTTTAATCCACTCAAGCGCTAATATGTTACTCCACTTCTCTAATTAAAGATCTGTTAATGGCTGATTAACCCAATAAAACAGAATAAATTTGATTAACAATTTTATGAAAACTATAGTTTCTTTCTAATCATGGTGTAGTTATTATTTCAAAAGGGATGAAAATACCTTATTTTTGTATTACAACTTTTGCTGCTTAAGTGTAATTCTACTGTTATTTTCAAGAAATTAGAACTGCGATCTTCTGCAATTCATTTCACATATTAAAAAGTTGGTAAAGTGATTTCCTTTTAAGATAAAATAGTAGAAGAAAATAAATCACATAATAAAAATAGATGCTGTTCTATTCTTCTTCTAATTTTAGTTATGTTATAACTTCATTGATCTCCTCTTTTAGTGTTATCCATCTCTGCACCATTCTGCAATTGGAATTGCAGAACATCAAAATTTAAAACTCACGGCTTTAACTTTAAGAATTGAGGATAACAACAACAACAAGTCTTTATCCCAATATGTGAGTTCGGCTACATGAATCCATTTTCTCCAATGTATCCTGTTAATAATCAAATTATCATCTAAAACTCATATTATTATAATCAAATCGAGCCTCTCGATGAGATGAATCCAATGAGCCTGATAAATTAATTTTGACATTAATAATTCTTTTAGCTGCTAAAAGAATGATATTTAATTAAGGGAATCAATATGGGTCGTCTAATTGAGTGTTTTAAATTTCAGTTATATTTATAGAATATGTTACTTTTAAAATTATAAATAAAGAGAGCCACCCTTACGTTGAGATTCAAGAGAATTCAGATATTTAAAGAATCTCATAACTCCACTAGACCACCGCCTGACCACAATCATCAAACCACCGGTCGATTCTTATCACTGAACCACCACCTAACCATTGTCTGACTATCATCATCAGATCATCACCACCTACATTGTCAAATCATTGCCACTAGACCTCCAACATTAGATCGTTGTTGTTTGATCACTATAGCCCGTCCACCATCATTTGGTCACCTTTGTTTGACTATAGTTCTCCAACTACTGTCACCCAACCTCGATCCCATGTCGTCTAACTATGGTCTTTCAACTACCATCACTTGAGTAGAGTCCTCCGATTACCATTGCTTGACTATATTTCTCAAACCAATGTTGATTATGATCCTCTAACCATTGTTGTTTAACTGTGATACTTCGATTACATGTCATTTTACATTAATTGCCTGACTACAACCCTTCGACCATCATCACTCGACTGTGGCTCTGCGAACATCATTGTTGGATGACAATAATCACAATCCTCTAACCACAATTACTTGCCTAAGATCCTCCAAGAACTATTGATCAATTACATTCCTCTCACAACCATTATCATACCATAATTCATTGACAATCATAATTCAATTCTAGTCTTACAACCACTGTCTTCCAACCACAGCCCTTTAAACTCCATCATCTGATTAGTGTCATTAGACCACCATTGTGCAAAATATGATCCTCAAACCATTATTCCACTAGACTATAATGTCCCAGTAACTGTCACCCAACTACAACCTCCTAACAATCATCATCGGACATGAAGTAATGACCTTTAATGCCTAACTACAATTCATTAATCACAATGTTTAGATTGTGATCCTCCGATCACCATCCAACTATTATCATTTGACTCTCAACAATTGACTATTGTTATTTGACCTGTGTCAAACACCTAATAACCTCTGACAACCATGATGCCACTATGATTATTTTCCCGGCCATCGTCGCTCAACTAGGGCCCTCCACCATTATTTATTGAATACAATCCTCCGATGTTAGCCACTATGATTCTTTGTCCACTGTTGTCTGACTAGGGACCTCTGTTTATCATTGATTGAATAATTTCCTAAACCTAACATCGCCCAATTAAGACCCACCATCCACTATCACTACGATATGGTCCTCTAACTATTGTCACCCTATTACAATCCTTTGACCACCCTTGCCTAACTTCAGTCCTCTAGCCATCACGCTCAAGTATAATCTTTTGATCACCTTTGCCCGAGTATTAGCCTAGGACCACCATCACCCAATTATAGTGTTTTTGACAATCATTGCTTGAATAAGGTCCTCCTGCCACCTTCATGAATTATCTTTCGACTATCATCACTTGACTAGGGTCCGTCAACGACTATCACTTGACTACAATCCATCAACCATTAACACCCAAATTCAATCCTCTAACCATCATCACTTGAATTTGGTATTCCGATAACCATCATCATACTATAGTTGTAATATCAAAAATCTGCTCCAGGATCGTCCAGGATGATCTGGATCGTCCTGGGACGATCGGGCGGGATCCGTCCCCGTCGGGTCGGGTCGTGACAATAGTTCCTTGGGCACCGCTGCTTGATTTTAGTCCTTATTGGATATATTGATAATCATCACCTAACTTTGATCCTCATACAACCATCGGCTAACTATGGAATTCTAAACACCGTCACTTTACTATGGTCCTCTGGACACCATAACTCGACTGTGGTCTCACAAGCACCATCACCTAACTTTGGTCCTCCATCCACCATTACTTGATTATAGCCATTTAACCACCATCACTCTAACTATGATCTTCTAACATTAAATCTCAATTATTGTCTAGCCCATTACAATCTCATGATCATTTTTGCCTGTTTATGATCTCCTAACTACTATTGTCCGACTATAGTCTCTTAAATATTGTTACCCAATTACAATCTCCTAACGAACTACACTAATGCTCATTGACTTCATCACTCGACATTACAAATAGCATCGATATACGCCAACATCTTAAGATAGATGCATGCTATTGATATCAACTTTTGATATAAGCACCAAGATTTATGCTAGACTTCTTGAACTCTGTTCTCCATATCATAAAGTGAGAATGACCAAACATACAACAAACAAGCTTTTGAAGATAACTTCTATGCTACATGGCTTTTACAACTTGCATCATGAAATATGATCTATAAATTTTATATCTAGTATATTGCATTGACATATTCCTCAATTGCATGGAAGGCCGTCATTTGTAATCGATGATAAATAAGAGCGTAATCATTCAATCTACTATAAGAGAGGATGAATGGATGTCAAAATGAAAATTATTTAAGTCATGATATATTGACTGAAATTTGATAAAAATATTTCAAAAAATTTATTTTGAGATGAGTATAATACAAATATATTTACTAAAATTTATATCCTATTCATTTTAAAATAAATTTAATGAATTTATAAATTTTCCTAACTTAAAATTGCATCATGGGTAAGCCAAATTTTTATTACCAAATCATTCATAAAGATGAAGATGAGAGATGTTTGAGGGTATGCGATCCAAGGATCAAGCAATGAGGAGGTTGTGGATGAGAAAAGAGGATACAAAGATAGAACAAATAAACGGTGAGATTATATTTCTTTTAGAGGTCATTTTATTTGCTAAAAAAGAATTCAGAGTAAAATAAAAATGCAATTATTTGTAATATTTTGAGATGTTTTTATGAGTGTAAAATGAATATTTTTTTTTGTTTGGCTTGAAATAAAATAAATGCTATTTAAAACCTAACAATGATGGTGGTTGGTGACAACGGTGATAATGGGTATTGTAATGGCTGGTTGCCAACCACAAATAGCGGGCGGTGGCCATCATTGGTGGGCGGTAGTCTACAACATTGGGGAATGATCAATGACGAAGTTACAACAATAATAGAGAATTTATAGTGTATTCGAAAATGGGCCACATCTAATGATTTTCAATGAAAATTGAACTAGATTGTGAATTTCAAATACTGCACAATTTTTTCCTGCATTTATTTTCTTTAAACAAAATACTAATATTTTTAAAATCCTTACATTTTGAATAGTTTACTACTTTTACTTTAAATCAAACAACCTTTTAATAAACTCTTTAAATTTAAAGATTGTAAAGTTCAAAATCAATTAAAATTTTGGACTTCGCATCAACAATTATAAACAATGCTGTTCAACACTGTAGGTCATCCTAACCAACGATCAAGCTAATTTATCAAGTTTTACCATTGTTATATGGTTTTAAATATCGGGTATGATCTATCATTCCAATCACTCTAATAATGGAGAAATTATTCTATGTTGACACCGGACCGTTCGGAGGCAAATTAGAATGCGTTACATCACATTGTACAGAACGGATACACAACTGCGGTACACAACAAATGGGTGACGTAACTTGCTCTGATTCGCCTCCGAACGACATCCGGTGTTCACACAATAATTTTCCCTAATCATGAGCGAGTCTCCTAATCGATAAAAAATGATAGCATTGGGAAAACAATGAACCACTTTGACTTACTCACTTGCTGAGTTCTTCTATTAATTAATTAATTAATAACTTTTAATTTTGATTAGACGGTTACATAAATTTAAATTTAAAAATGACTTAAATCTTTATATTTTAAATTTATTTTGAATATCTTATATAAAAGGTTAATAATTGATTTGTCATTGATTTTCCAATTCAGCAAATATTTCTAAATTAAAAGAAAATCGAATATCGTCCTTCGAACATTAATTCCTGATTGCCCGGTCAATTTTCAAACAATTCACATGGAACCGAAGAGCCATGGCTCTTCTTCCGCCTTTCCAAATTTCACTCTTACATATCTCTCTCTCTCTCTCTCAAGGCACGGCCGAAAAAAGGGCGGAAGGGAAAAGTTCGACACCTCTCGTGCCCTAATCTAACTCCCCACCCTCTCATGGTGGGAAAGATAAGATCAGCGGTTTAGACCTCCGCTAGCCCTAATCTTAGATTCATTCCTCTTCTTTTCGTTTCTCATGGGGGATGCGATAGGGAAGGAGGTAGGTGGCTTGATAAGCGAAGGCGTCCTCCCTATCGTTTCTTCGTGGTCCGTCATTCGTTCCCCTAGCCTATCTTCTTGTCATCGATGCGGGCTCGGTTTTCCAATCAATGGCAGCGTTGACTGCCTCAAAACCTTAGAAAGCCAGTGGCGCGTCGTTCTCCTCTGCCGAGAATGTTTTGCTTCTGTTAAATCAGCTGAGGTATGTTCCTACTGCTTCCTGTGGTTTCCAGAATTGGAAAAGGGGTTTCTTGATTGCAATATGTGTTCGCGTCGTGTGCACCGCACCTGCGTGTCCCTGCACCACCGTAACTTTTCGCATACACTGTTCGATGCGGACAATTTTATCTGCGTTGACTGTCGCCCCATCCCCAAATTAAGACGAGAATATTCTAAAAGTTCTGGAGGTTCCACATCTCGAACTACTTTCAGTGTTTCATTGGATGATTTTGTTGAAGGGGCAACATCGATTTCAGAGAAGAAGGAGACCTCTAAAGGTAAGGCTAGGGAGAATGAGGCGAAGAAAGTATTGGTGACAAGGGATTCGTCTGAGCTTAAGAGGAAAGCATTTGATGCTGTTCGTTTGGTGAAAGAGTCTTCTTGCGTCAATTTAATTGTCCCTGATGAGAAGATGGCTCTTAGTTTGCATCAAACAATAAATGGATCACAGAGGATATCCAGGAGTTTGTGCCCTAAGGGCGTGAGTCAGGTTACTGTCCCAAGGAAAGAGCAATGTAAATATAATTCTGCTGTTAGGATTATTGACTCTAATTCTTGTGCCCATCATGGCAAGATTAATGTTAGTACTGAGAATAAATCCCTTCAAGAGGATTTAGGCGTTTCTGAATCAATTTTGACTAATGGTCCATTATTTAGGCAGGAGAATAGTGATCTGACTAATCAAGTTAGGGGATGCACCACAGGTTATCCTGACGATGTTTCATTGAATGAGATGGAGGGCTCTCTAAAGTTTCCCAATTGTGCTGATGATGGCAGTAATTCTGGCGGCCTTGCGTTGTTACCATGTCATAGTTTGAATACTTCGTTGAAGAGTACAATGCCACTTATAAAGTCCAGATTCGATGATTGTGATGGAGAAAGATCATATAAACTGCAGCGAAAGAGTATTGATTTGATTGGTCTAAATGGGTCTTTGAAGAAATATTTCAGGAAAAGTTGGTGCTCTGGAAGAACTATGCGGGAGAATTCTCATTCAATTTTTAGTGGTAGTCCATTATTTAAGCAGGAGAATGGAGATCCAATGAAGCAACATATGACCTGTGGGACAGATGGCCCTAGTGATTTCGCCTTGCAAGAGAAGGAGAGCTCTCAGAGGTTTCCAGATTCTATTGATGATCGAAGTAATTCTAACTCTACATTGTTACCATGTCATAGTATGAATGTTTGGTTGATCGGTACATCACCAGCAGGAAAGCATAGATTTGGTGATTGTGATAAATTGGAATACTCTAAACTTAAGCGAAGAAGCATTGATGTGATTGGTCTGGATAGGCCTATGAAGAAATATTTCAGGAAACATTGGGATTCTGGAAGAACTATTCAAGGGAGTTCTCATCCAATTTTGACTAATAATCCAATATTTAAGCAAAATAATACGGTATTGATGAAGCGAACTAGAGAGTGCAACATAGGTTGCTCAGGAGATTTTTCCCTGAAGGATAAGGAGAGCTCTCTAAAGTTTCCAGATTCTACTGAATATGTTAGTAATACTGACTCTGCATTGTTACCACATCATAGTTTGAATACTTGGTCTAATAGTTCAATGGCATTAACAAAGTACAGATTTGGTGATGGTGATGGAGGTGGATCCTCTAAACTACAGCGAAAGAGCATTGACGCAATGGCTTGTAGGTCTATGAAGAAATATTTTAGGAAACATTGGAGCTCTATTGATGCAATAGTTTCAGATAAGAAGGGGAATTCTGAATCAATTTTGGTTAATAGTCCATTATGTAATGAGAATGAGGATCTTACGAAGCAAACTAGGGGATGCAATACAGGCAACATAGGGATTATTTTCTCAAACGAGGAGGTGAGCTCTTTACAGTTTCCAGATTATACTAATGATGGTAGTAATGCTGGCTCTGCATTGTTTCCTTGTCATAGTTTGAATAGTGGGTTAAATAATACATTTCCACTAACAAATTATAGTTTTTGTGATGGTAATGGAGAGAGATCCAAAAAACTGCAACGAAAGCCTATTGATGCAATAGTTTCAAATAATATGAAGAAGTATTACAGAAAACGTTGGGGTTCTAAAAGAATTATGCATGGGACTTCACAATCAATTTCAATTAGTAGTTCATTAATTAATCAGGAGAATGGGGATCTGATGAAGCAGAATAGAGAATGCAACACAATTTGCCCAAGGGATTTTCCATTGAAGGAGGAGATTTCACTGAAATTTCCAGATTCTACTGATGGTGGCAGTAATATTAACTCTGCATTGTTACAATTTCATAGTCTGAATACGTCTTTGAATATTACAATGCCACTAATAAAGTATACAGTTGGTGATGAGGATGGAGTGGGATACTCTAAATTGCAGCGAAGGAGCATTGACGCAATATGTTCAGATGCGTCTTTGAAGAAATATTTCAGAAGAAATTTGGGTTCTTGAAGAAATATGCAAGGGAATAACTCTTAGATTCCACTTTGACAGCCAAGCTGCTCTTGGGTATTGTCGGTTTTTTCTGTTGCTACTGATATACTGGTTGCATTCTTCGGAAAGCAATTTGTAAAGATGCCACTTGCGGTAGACAGGTTATATGATGTTCAAAACTCAATTACCTGGTTTATAATCATGCTATAATTATTCTTGCTGCAGAATTCTACCAGAATGAATTTGTCAATGTTTATAATTTTATATTGCTTTTACCTCTGTAACCTCAAGATGATTTTTTTAAAAACCCAGTTTCATTCCTATATTTTGTCTTCTGGCATTTTAGATATCAATTTGCAGCGCTGGACATAACAAAGAACCTTTTTCATGTATTTATGCCTTCTTGGCTTATACCTTTAACTTGAATTTCTTTGTTTTTCATGAATCTATTCAGTTTTTATCTAGTTGACTTCAACGGTTCCCCTTTTTCCTATATCTTATTCGACAAACGTTTGCAGGTTTTTGCTCTGTTTTTAGTTCATTTGGTTTGGAATTTTCAGCTACTATGAATTTCTTATAGAGTCCTTGATATCCCTTCCTAAGTTCTGTCGTGCAGATTTTTTATTGTTTATAAAGTCCTTTATTATTGTTTACAAAATATTAGAAATGATTTTTTTATTCGATTTAATTGAGAATTTGACTCTTAATAGAATACAATAAAAAAGAATGATTCATGTGGCCGACCCCACGGAATGGGATAAATGTTTGATGTTTTTGTTGTTGTCGTATCCGTATCCAATCCTAAAATGTCTCTTATTTTTTGGAGTGTTAGTAGCGGTCTAGTTTGTTTAATTAAATCTTTCTATCTAATCAATAATTTACTAAGACAAAAATTCTTTTGCTAATTGTGATATATTTCTTTTCCGACTTTTGCCATGTGGAACCCATTTCTAGCGGAAACAATGTTATAAATTTGCTTTGAATCCAATTGTTAATAAGTAAAACCTATCATGTTTGACTGGTGAAGCAAATTAAAATTAGCTCTTAGATTGACTAGATTTGAATGATCCAACCACTTACCAGTTACCACTTTTAACTACAATCAAAGTGTCAGGTATGCCATGCCATCTACCAGTAACATCTCTAGTGTGATTATAGAAGTAAATCCATAACATCTTTGGCTACTCATGAATGTTGAGGAAAGATTTTACTGGGATTCTTTGATGAATGCCAATTGTAAATTATTCTAATTTGATGCAACAAAAAAAAAAAAACTACAACACTAGAATTGCAAATAAAAGACTGCACTTTCATAAAGCATAAACAAACAAAACCTTCGAACACAACTACTTCAAACTCACATTAAACAGGATACAACAACACTTTACAACTTAAAATAAAACACGACTCAATAACACCTTACAACTTAAAATTAAACACGACTCAATGACACCTTACAACTTTTCAAAGTTTTTAGAAGAAAGATACAGGTGGAATGAGAATCTTGGAGAGAAGAAGAAGAAGATAGAAGTCCAAGACATAATAGAGGGAAGGTAGAAGAGGATAGCTTGCAAGCTATAACAAATCCACATGTTTCACGTTCCAAAAATTCTTCACATATCACCCTCTTTCAAAGGAAACTAGCCAACTTATATAGGAGAAGAAGATGAAAAAGATATTAAATGCTCTCCTTAATGGGCCACCCAAATCAGCTAATAGAATAAACCCAAAACAACCCCACTTAATGAGAAATTAAAGCTCTTAGCATAGGAATCAGCAAGGAACAATACACAAATAGCCAACATCAGGGAAAAACAGGACAACAACATGAAAACCAAGGGATAGAATGGAAACCGAACAACCACCATAAAACATCCATATTGGAATACCAAACAGCCATATGGGAAGACCAAACAACCATAAAAAATCCCTCCAAATCAACCCTTGTCTTGACTGCATCAATTCTCCCCTTGTGAAAGAATCTCATTCTTTGATGAGAATGACTCAGAACTTTTATGATATTCTGAATGCATTATTTCTAATGGGAGATTTTCCTCTTGAATTGGAACTTTGACTTGTTGATTTATTTGACTAGCCTTTTTTGTTTTTGATTTTTAAAGAGAAAAGAAAACTCACATGACAACCTAAATCTCTGATACCAAATTGATGCAATTTAAAGCTCTGATCTCAAATTGAGCAATCTAAAAAAAACACAAATTGTAAACTAAAGACTTCCTTTCTTTAAAACATAGATAAACACAGATAGAACAAAACAATAGTACTATATCCCATAATAGCTTAAACAAACACAACCACACCTTACAACTTTAAATAAAAAGACACAACACCTTACAACTTCAAATAAAAGGATACAACACTCTCCCTCCGGTAATCTCTTCTCTGCTGTGTTTTGCTGCATTACAACACCATACGACTAATCAAAGCTTCGAGAAGAAAGATACATGTGGAATAGGAATTGTGGAGAGAAGAATAGATATAAGTCTGAGATGAAATATAAGAAGGAAGGTAGAAGGGATAGCTCGCAAGCTATGACAAACCCGCAGGTTTCATATTCCAAATATTCATCACATGTCACTCTTTCTCTCTCTTTCAAAGGAAACCATCCATCTTATATAGGAGAAGAAGATGAAAAAGGTATTAAATGCTCTCCTTAATGAGCCACCCAAACCAACCAATAGAATAAACCCAAAACAGCCCCATTTAATGAGAAATTAAAACACTTTAGCATAGGAATCAACAAGAAATAGCACACGAACATCCAACATCAGGGAAAAGTGGGACAACATCATGAAAACCAAGGGACATCATGGAAACCAAACAACCACCATAAAACAGCCGCATTGGAAGACCAAACAATCACTTGGGAAGACCAAACAACCACCAAAAACCCCTCCAAATCAACCCCTACCTTGACTGCATCATAATTGGTCTTTCTCAATTGCATCAAACATTTTGGGTCTCAATCATTATCACAATTTTTTATTGTATAAGGTCAGTTTAATGGTTGTTGATATGGTACGGGCTAGTCCATGTGCGTTATTGAATTGTTTGATCAAATAAAGGACAATTTGTAGTTTATTTATGGCGTCTTTCTCTATTATCCAATCACTCTTTGCCCACAAAATGTTTTTCTCCTTCACCCTTTAAATTAAGTTTCTGTCTTCTTATTAACAGATCTTTTCCTTGGATGCAAGAAGTGGTCATCATGCTTCTTTTACGAGGTTTGTGAAACCCTTCATAAGCTTCATTTTATCAGCAATTAATATTCTTGCTTGCCCTTTGTTGCAAATTTGCTTTAAAAACATTTATTTTGCCAATCAATTCTTTTTTTTAAGTCTTTTTACAAAGGTACATTTTTTTCCATCTATTTTGCCAATCAATTCTTTTTTCTCCCCCTTTAATTTTGCCAATCAATTCTTTTTTTAATAATTTTTATAATTTTTTTTATTTTTTAAAAATTTCCAATCAATTTTTATCTATAAATCTAGCCTATACTAAGGTTTGTAGATTGATTTACCGACTGGACATGAATTAGTGTGAATAGAGCCATCTATAGAAAACCCAACTTTTTGCTATGTATTCCACGGTACCTTGAACTTGAGCAGTAATCTGCATGGTCTTCTCATATCAATGATTGTATATTTAATGGACCAAATGCCATGTATCAATTGCATCAGATCTCAACGAGGGCCTGTTGTAGATGACATCAATTTGCTGTACTAAATCTTGCAGCTGTACTAAAGCTCAGGAAGAGTGTCTTATTTTACTAAAAAAATTTTAGCTATTTTTGACTAATTTCAAATTCCAACCTAAATAAGTAAATATATTTTTTAGTTCAGATTTGCTTCATGTCTCAGGCATGCCCATATATTTGTTTTTTTGCTTCATGATTATTTAAGGTACTCTACTGGATTATTGATACTCTTAAACACCTTAATCTTAAGCATTACCTCCAATACCAGAGCTAACTTTTGGTAACGAGAAATCATTAAGTTTATTCAGTGCATCTTGCTTCTGAACCTTTGATACTCTATTCATGAATTGTCGATGCATCAGTTACTTCCTAATAAAGAATAACCCAAAAGAACTTCATAACGCACCAACCACACAAACTAATTCATCAAAGTCAGAGTATCATGTTGTTGGGTTGAGTCTTGTCGGCTTCATTAATTTGTGCTCCTAACTCTATTTTAAGTATGTTGGTGGTAATTCTTATATGGAGAAATATTTTAATTATCACAGGAAATACGCACCATGGCTATTTCTTTTACAAATCTGACGTGCTTTTCATTTTGTAAACCAATTTTGTTATCTTCAAAGTTCAAACCAAGGTTTAAAATTGTGAAATTGGGTATTAAGGCGTTTTTCGTCCGTCAGGCGAGGCGTAAATGATGTGAAACCAGGAATTGTTTTCTTAGAGATTAATAAAAGTTGTTGGAGTAATGATAAAATTAATCTTAAGGCGTCTCAAAATTGAAGAATCAAGAAAGCTCTAAGAAACAAACGATGCTTAGGCAATCCATTACAACTAAATTTGCAAGCACTTTAAAATAACAACGTAAACAAGAGTAATGAAATGGTTAGTCAACTAGAATCCGACGGTTAACAAAGTAATCGTCTCACCTTGAGGCTCAAAGTCACTCTTCTACGTCTAGGGTTGTCGGAGGAAGAAGAACCATACAAGAAACAAAATCACTCCAAGGTAGACGGCGCAGACGATCCGTAGTGATGGCGAGGGAGGCGGTGGCGGTGGAGGTGGGGAAATGGGTGGATGGCCGTTGATGGTCTACTCGTAGTCCGAGAATTGATCGTCGATGGATGTCCATGAGGGTGGGGATGATTCGGTTCAAGTAATCTTCCACGGTGTCGTCAAAATCGAACCCGACGTTGAAGAATGGTAAACGGGTTATGTGGATGTCTCCGTAGGCGTCGAGTATGAATTCGCTATCAATTTCGGGATCCGCCATGCATCCTTGCCGGAAAAGAATGAGCACCAAGAGGGAGAAAGGAGATATGCGGTGGTGGCAAGAAAGGAGAAGGGGTTGGGCTGGCGTGAGAGTTTGAAGAGGGCGGCTAGATTGAGAGACCAAGAAAAATATTTCAGGAATCCTGAAATTATTTCAGGTTTTGGGTGAGAGGGAAGGGATTAATTTGAGAATTTCAAATTAAATCCGATTAAGGAGAGGGGGTGGCAATGAGGAGTGGATGGGGGCTGATTTGGTGGGATTAGGAAGTTAATCTAGGAGAGAGAGAATCCCCATGAGGGGGGCCGGCCACACATAAAGAGGGGAGAGAGTAATTGTTATTAGTGAGTGGGGTCCACAACACTAATCAAGTTTTTAATAAAATATGAATTTAAAATTCAGATTTTATGAGAAAGGGAAGTTTCCAAATACAAGGCTATTAATTAGGATTAATTTGAATTTCAAATTCAAATTGAAATTCAATTAATATTATAGCCTTAAATCATGGAGATATTTTAGGAAGGTCTTGAATGGTTCTTGGAACAAGTTTGAATTTCAAATTTGAAATTCACCAAGGGGAGAGGCCGGCGGCTACAAGGGTAAACGGGTCAAGGGGTGGGGGTGGACGGCCGACGGGAGGTGGCTGCCAAGGGGCTGGCGGCCTGGCCGATCCAGGGAGGGGTGGCGGCAAGGAGCAAGGGGAAGGAGGAAGGAAAATTAATAGGGATTCGAATGGCCACGGATTCACTCACCTTGATTGTTCCCAATCCAATTCCTCACACAAAAACTTGGGAAGAAAACCTAGAACTCACAAAGAGATCTATCTCTTCCGAAAACTCACTAAGAGATTTAAGGGGAATGAACTCACAAAGAGAACACAGAGCAAATTTTCATTTTATCAAAAACTATCTCCAAATTCAATGACTAAGCCTATATATAGGCCATTCGAAAAATAAAAACCATAAAGACGAAATTTCCCTTGGGGTACAACATGCAATAACTTCCTCATAGGGGTACAAATGAAAAACATAAAATGTAAATGATATGAATAAAATAAAACATCAGAAATAAAGACTATGAATAGTGGCCGTCGCTCGACGACCCTGTCACGACCCAACCCGACCGGAACGAATCCCTTCGCATCGGGCCGCGACAAATATTAAAAATACAGGATCTAGTTATGGAATTTGCTTTCGGACTTTCTTCCAATAATCAAACATACAGAAAACACAGAGCTACTATAAGCATCCAAATATACATAAAAGTTCATCTATGATTTTCTTCTTTCTTTCCTCAAAATATTCATGTACAATACAGTGCATGGCTAAAGTCAGAAAGAACATAACAGAAAAGTCATGATTATACAAAAATCAAAAGTACAAAATACCTAATTACAGATCAGACACTGAACGGCTTGTCCAAGACTTCCTTCCCTTTCCCAGAACCTGAAAACCACGCAGATAACAAGGATGAGCTAACAGCTCAGCAAGACTACACTAGCAAATCAAAATATTCAGAATTTCACATCAACAAATACATCAGAAGAGTAGTCGTACACATGGTTTAAAATTGCGCAATATGAGGCTCGCCTTGAGGCCTGCCTTTGCGCAATTCCAGTAAAAAACGCCTCGAGTTTTTTTATGAGGCTTGCGCCTCAACTTGGTTGAGGCCCGCCTCGCCTCACTGGCATAAGGCTTACGTCTCACGCTATATATATTAAAACTTACATAAATCTTGAAGTAAATGTTCGATATTAGACTCTATAGGAGAGGAAGGGGAGAGAGCAGTTCACCATAATGATGATTCAAATGAAGAACCCCTTAGTGATGACAGTGCTAATGACTTATGAGTTCTTATGTGATATGTCATTGCTATTTATTTTTGGAAATCAGAATTATATGTTAATGAAAAGAATATTGGGATTTCGGAAAGATAGAATTTTGAGTTGAACTATATTTTATGTTGTCTTATTATTGAGATATTTTGATTTCACTTCATATCTTATGTTTTTTTATGTTTTATATTATTCACTCATTAGTATATAACAAATTTATCATTTTATGTTTATGCAATCTTTTGATTTTGAGGCTTACGTCTCAAAACGCCTTGAGGCTTACGGCTCGCCTCACAAATGAAAAACGCCTCAATACCCGAATACGCAATTTTAAACATTGGTCGTACAGAAAATCAAACCACTGAAACAGAAGAACTGAATTCATTCATATAGCAGAATATTCAAATTAGAATTATCTTTAATTCACAGAACATACAGAATAGTACAAATCCGTACAAATCATAAGCAATTGCCAAATCGGATAAAATCATATAATACATATTTCACAAATCAGAGTTCACATATCAGATCCTCGGACCCTGACAGAATCTTTACGGATTCTGGCCCCTCATGACTCGCTTCCTTGACACAGACAAAATCTCAACAGATTCTGGCCCCTTATGTCTCCCTTGTGCTTACAGCACCAGAGCTTATCAGATATACAAAATTTTAGATCAAATCAGACTTTTCAGATTTCCCTGACACAGACATAATCTCGAAGGATTATGGCCCCTTATAACTCCCTTCTAATAGCATATAAACACATCAATTCATTCAATTCAGGAAATCAGATTACGTCAGAAAAATCTTCAGCGGCATAACAGCAGTATACGGAATTTCCACAGAATTCACAAATTCAGAAATTTACCAAATTACCACAGATAGTACAAAACATTAATATAAGACTTTCATTGTACTGAAACAACATATTTCAAAATCCAGATAATTCGTTATTCAATTAAAACACCGCAAAATTCAAAATACCCGGTAAAAATCTTCCATAAAATACTCAAAACGTGCAAAAACATCATCTCAGAAACATACCAAAAGTAACGCGGTAAAAAGTTTATCAGTGCAAAATGAAACCAATTATTCGCTAACAGAAATAGATTGCGGAACAGAAAAATCGTCAAAATCCACATTTCTGAAAATTGAGAAAGGCGGAATGTGCCTTACCTCGAGTCGATACAATTTCCCAACTACGGAGACGGACGAAAACGGACCAAAGTCGCCCAAAACGCGGATTTTCTTCTTCTCCCTTCGTTTTTCTCTCTCCTCAGCTTTCTCTCTCTTCAAAAATGACACTATTCAGATATTTATGAAAAAGGATCGTCCAGGACGATGTCCCGATTGTCCCGGGACGATCTCCTCTGAACTGCCATCATGCAGACGAAAATTAATTCCAATTTGTTTCGTCCTTGGACGATGCTCTATGTTCAGTTTGTCCCGATGAACCCAGGTTCGTCCAGACGAACCATACAGATTTTCAACATTTTCTTTAGTTCTTACTAACGGTTTGTCCGTACTAACATCACAAAATATTTTTTTTTTCAAACTTAAATTGAAAATTTAAGGGTTTCACAGACCCCTCTGATGGTAGGTGTGTCGAAATCTACTATGGATGTCCTCATCAGTAAATCTCAAGGCGTTTTGATGCGTAAGCCTCAAAATTCAAAAAATACGTAAAATGAAAATAAATGTCAAAAGTAAATTTTTTATATAATACTCAAATAATATGTTAAAGGATGATATATTAGCTTTCTATTGAACTGTGAAGTAGTCAATTGACATACAAATGAAACAATAAGTTGCACAAGTCGTAAAGTGGCAAGTGATACATTGCGTGAAATAGAATTAAAATCCAAATATTACAAAACCAAAATAACATAAATTAGAGAAATTGCATAAAAGTATCATATAACATCAAGTTCAACTTCAAATTCCTTCTTTTTCAATTCTCTACTCATCTATATTTAATTTCTAAAGAAAATAGAAATAGTTGACAACAACTCAGAAATCATATGTACTGTAATCACTGAGGGGTTCTTTATTTGAGTTATCGTCATAACAAATTGGTATCTTTCCTGCGTCATTCTATGGAGTCCAATGCCTTCCAATATGTTTTTTCTTCATATATATATATATCAGTCATCTTCTTCTTTTATAAATATTTGCTATGACTTGGAAGGCATGATTTGTTTGGGTCTTTAGTTTAGGATTTAGGTAAGTTTTAATCAAAAATATATAAATGGTGATGCATGCCTCAACCAAGCTGGGGCGCAAGACTCATAAAAAAGGCTCAAGGCGTTCTTCATTGGAATTGCATTGAGGTGGGCCTCAGGACATGCCTCATATTGTGTAATTTTAAACAATGCTTCAAACTTTACTTTTTTGCCTCTTATTTTAGTTCATTTCTTAGATTGTGCAAAATGACATGAAACTTCGTTTGGGTGTTTAAGGGTCTCAAAGAAAAATGGTGATGCTAGATTCATACAGACCCATCCTAATTTCAAAATTCTCCATCAATTTGAAATGAAATACTAGGATCTGCGATAAAGCATAGGAGATAATCGAGCTCCACATCAATGCTTAGCTTGAAAATATTCAGCTCCTTTGAATTGTTCAATCGAACTTTGCCAAAGTATCACAAGCTGATCTATCACTTCAAAGGATTGGATATCTCTAATTAAATATGAATGGTGGACACAATTTGTCATCTAATAGTGTCTCTGGAGTAGGTTGCATTTAATTTTCTAATAAAGTGTTGGATGTGAATTTGTTAAGGAGTTAGAAAGAGAAAAATCTAAGACATTGATAACAAGTTCATGAAGTAAAGCCAAGTTAGGTTAACTATTCTACAGAGCTAACTTTTTTTCAAATTAGGGAGAGTTGATGCGGTGCTCTATTCCTATCTCTACAGGTTCTAGTGTGGCTATTCTTACAATGTTTCCTTTAGGATCTTCCTTTAACTTCTATTGCTAATAGTTACTATAGTTGTTCAGGGCCCTCTAGGTGCAGCTATTTACAAGCAATTATTGTAACTAATTTTTTTTTCTTAGATTGTGACTATTTGTAGGTGGTTAGCTACAATTCTTATGAATTTCTTTGATCTTTTTGCAATTTCTTCCTTGGCTGTGATGGCTATATTATTTGTGTTATGAGGTTTACAAACAGGCATCTTGATGCATGTAAAAGAATCTTATTTGTATTTTACGAGGTGTATAAATAGGGCTCAAGTAAAAGTGCGTTTAAATGTATTAATTGTTCTTCCTTGTTTTACTATTGTCTTTGATTAATCATGAGCTGAAGAGTTTCGAGATAGCCAATCTCCTTATTCAAATATGCGGCTTGCCAATCAATTATTTTATTTGAAATTCTTTTCTCTTATTTTGGCTTGTTATTGTATTTTATCAACTTGTTGCAATCAGGTCTCTTCTATACATGAAATCTCAATCATTTGTTTGTCATTCATTATTTTAATTTCTTGGAGCTACTTTTTCTTAGAAAGCTTAAATCCTTTCACTTGAATTGGATTTGCTATCCTCAATTTTCATCAAAAGAAATAAATTATTGTTTTATGATTAATAGCTTTCTTCACCATAAAAGTTAATATTTTTCTTGCATTGGTGGTGTCACATTCAAATCTACATTGTATACTCAATGTGCATTTGACGCTCTACTATAGAACATTCTATTTTATTTGGGGATGGAGGAGGCATGCTAAGAGGATAAAGAGGTAGACTGGGAAGAAAATGATCATGCAAAAGCTAAAATTCATAATTTTCATGACTAAACCAGAGTCAGAATTAATGTAGGAAGAACAATTAGTTCTTTGACAGGGAATTTAATTGGTATTATTTTGATTTTTGATGAAGAAGAGAAATATGACACTCTTTGCGGATTCATCAATTGGAAGCCTGATATATGTTTGGTGATATTGATTAGCATCTAAATTGATGTGATCAATAAAAAAACTTTATTAATCAATTGTAATGCGGTGATGTTGATTGTCTGACATGTTTTATTTGAACTCTCTTGATAAATCTGATGTTTAGATTTTATCTCACATTAGAGGTATAGTAAACCCCTTTTCTGTGTTATTTAACTTTTTTCTTTATTAGTAATATTATCTACACACATCTTGTTTTTGTAGTATATATATTGCTATTGCTTTGCTCTAGTTTTAGTTTTATCTGAAATAATTTATCCTTATTCTAGGGTTCATGAGGTGTCCAAGCTGCTTTGGTGTATGATGCAGGAATTTGTTCCTCACGTCAAGTACTGCTGACTTCAAGATTGGAGTTTCTGCAAGGAATACTGTGGTGAATATTTTTTCTTTGTTTGTGAATATCAATATTTTTCTAGAGATTGTATGTGCATGGTAAAGGGAAATTTTTTTTATAAGGAACCCCTATGATAGGCGCTAGTTGCCCACGGAGTGGAAAACTATTCCCATTTTATTTTATTTCATTTTGATGTAAGGGTGCTTTAGGGTACAGTTCTGGTAGAGCATAAATCAAACATTTTGATTTTGACTTGAGCCATGTTCAAATAAAGATTATAAATGCAACATAATATTCTTCCTAATCAATTATCATGATTATTATTTATATTAGTGTAGTCAACATTAACCCTAAATACTTAAAAGCGTGGTCCACGCCATTTTATTAGTTATGCTATTGGGAATACATATATATGTTTTCTACTACACATACGGTGTCAATCGAACCTATTTTGAACCAAACATCTTCAAGTAGTGCATAAGCTTTATGTGTAGCATTTTTTGATTTGAATTGATTGAATTATTTAGATTATTTGACCATCTAAGTATATAATTACAATATTTATTTTATTAAGGGTTAGTTCGTTAACAGCTGTTAATTGATTAATATAAATTTTGATATTAAAAATATTGATAAGTAATTAAAAAAAAAAAGTTAATGTATATTACTTGGTTTGCAACAAACGAAATGTTTTTTTCATCCACACTTCATTTGATGTTTGAATGAGATCAAAAGAATCAATTCGTGAGTATGTACACTAGGATCATTATGTTACAGCATGACGTGTCAATCTGTAAGTCTAAATCATGCAAAACTAGTATTTTAAGTATGCATAACAATTAGTATAAATATATTTTAGACTTCTAATATGCAAATTGAGCTTGATTCTCCCAGAGATGAAAATAAATGACTGCTACACATGTTCTTTATGTAATAGACTTTTGAAATAGAATTTTATTATCAAGCAAAAATAGATTACTTACCAAAATGATTAAATTTCAAAACATTGAAGAGAAAGAATAATGCTAGAAGTTATTTCTGGATTATGTAGCAGGAAAGTCAAGCCTGGTGAATGAAGGAAAACAAGACAAGTTTCAGAGTATAGATATTAAAAGTATGAACACTTAATTTCAGTTTCAGTTATCTTTTATTATGAATAATCACGAGCAAGTTCAGATTGAAAAAATTGAAAGATAAAAACAGAAGTAGCAACTAAAATAGATTACTTACCAGAATGCTTTTGATTAGAGTAAACGGGTTTCTTAAACGAGCAAAGAACAAATGAGGTATGTTATACAGCCAAAGATCTCATATAAATTTATTGTCTTGTTTGTGAAATCGGAATTGGCAGAATACATGGAAGCAATTTTATTGGGAGCAAAACTTGACTCTATTAATTGATTATTTTTTGAATTTTTTTACCAGTCAAGTGAAAGATATATTCTACTTGTTGGCCTTGGTACATGGATTATTACAGTTTACTTTTTAGTAAGCCAAACACTAGAAAGATATTCTACTTATTCTCTCTATATTATAGACATGTTTTATGGCCTAATAAGCATGAAGTACTTGTTTCCTTTGCAAGTCGGTAATGATTCCAATTCCTCAAGAAAAAAAAAATCATAATTAATATTCTCTCAAGTCATACTCTTGAAGTGAATGAATAAGGTGTGATGTTGTTTTCTTCCAATATCTGAATTTATTTTTATTTTGTTTATTATCAAGAGACCACGAACAAGATATTGACGAGGCTTAACCACTAACCAAAAATGTTTTATACTCTTCTCGCATCCCACTAACCTTCCTTATATTTTCAATTTTAATTTTTTTCTTATGTAACAATTACTGGTTATATTTTGATGCGGTTATGGCACAACAGAATTTCATATAAATTCTTTCTCTGGAAAGCAGTAAGCGTCAACACCACAAAAATCTACCATCAAAGACTAAAGGGGCTTGGCTTTATATGTTCCCCGTGGATGGAGAAAGCCATTGGGCAAGTAGAATAGCTGGGCAACTGTAACACTTGAACAATTTGCAGAGAACTGCTTTGGAAAGGTGTTCTTGGAGCCAAATTTGGAGCAATAGGGTGTTTCTGAGAGCCAGCTTTATTCCTCTAGAGATCATGCTACAAAAGTTCCTTCTCAAATAGGAATAGACATTGCATAGTGCAAAATGGTCTCTTATCCAGAAGAAATCTGTTGAAGCTGCATTTTTCTTGGGGAACCCTTGGTTTGCAAAAGCATCTTACTTTTTGGCTTCGTTTGGTTCCCCTAAGTTTTTTTCATTCTTAAATAGAGGTATTACAATGGAGAAATAGAATTTTTTTTCTTCTCGAATCAGCGAAAATATGGAGGTATATCAAGAGGTGTTTTGAAAAAGTCGCGTAAATAAACATTAAAATAGTAACTTTTTCATCGATTGAAATCGGAAACGGAAAACTTACGGACGACCAAACGAGGCCTTTATTGGCTACCGTGACAGTATAGGAGGAATTTGCTCTACTAATATGGTATGCTCATTGTTTGATTAACCGGTTTTTGTAAGTATATATTATTGCCATGAATCAGTTTTTGAAGGTGTTTTACATTGCAGATTATATTGGAGAATACTCCTTGCAGGAATTATACAGGAGGCTATCCTATTTTATTTTTTCTCCTAGATGGCAAGCTGGTGAAGAGGTAATCTAATGAAGCCTACTGAATAAATGTAGTAATAGTTCAACCAGTCAGTTTGTAAAGGAATTTGGAAGTAAATGATTTAATAGATTATGTTGGAATAGGAAATTGGTCCTAGTTTAGCGATTTTGAAAGAGTTAATTATTTTGAAGATTTTGTTAAAATGCCCAAATATCAATGTTATAGGAGCATTGTTTGCCTAAGATTGTTTGGGACTCTGTGAAAGTGTTTGAGATTGCTAAATTGAAAACCGATTGGAATTGTTTAATGTTTACCTACTAATTCTCTTGATCGAATGAAAACAATATCAGCTCCCTTCTTCAGTGCAAATTATTGTAGGTTCGGATATCCAATAAAAACATGCCACGTCACTTGTGTATTTGATTGTGCTTTCGACTGTGCTTTAGGTGCGTTTTACCCGCGCTTTTGATTGCGCTTTTGACGCGCTTAATTTAAAATAATATTTTATTAATATCCGGACCTATCTCTGTGATAACTGGATGCAATAATTTGCCTTTCTTCATGAAGCTTCTAGTATTGATTTGAGGCACCCCTATCTAGCTGAAATAAGCCAAAATAATCTGTTCTATATTGGAATAGATTGAGCTGGTATCTTTAATGTGATTAAATTATGTTAACTATTTAAATTAGTTTATGTTTGAGATAGTTTTCTTATTGGTTTCTACAGCAATTTCTTTGCACAAAATTTTTTAAAAAGTTATAAAAATTTGTAATCAAAATCTCTCACAAACAAAATAGTTGGGATACTGTTCTTATTGTTTTCTAAAATAAATTTTTAGTGATCAATTGGTGGCAAGTGGTGCTAACGACCGACCAACATCACTTTATCCATTTTGTTATCTAAAATTCACTTAAAACAAACAAATTCTAAATATATTTAAAAGGACAGTAATTTTAAAATGTACTCATAAAATTTATTGCATTTGAAATGCAACCATCCAAATACTCTGAATCTTCCAAATTCATAAATTTAATTTACTATACACTCAAAGCACAACTATCAATATAACTTCTAAACTACTCACTCCTAATGTTAAATCCATCCAAATAATTCAATGCCCATTTGCACCATATAAATATGATCCTTCAAAAGCCCCTAATAAATCTACATGATGATGAATATGTTATTTTCAAATCATAATAAGAGGAAATTCTTACCCTTTAGCCTAGTCAACTCTTAGGTTTTCCATCCCAAAGTTTGTCCCTAAATTCGAAAATAATATCAATCACTTTAAGACTCTAATGCCTCCAATCTATGGCTTCCTAAACATTTGAAATTGATCTCCATAAAAATTTATGAAGAATATAGAAATTTCTAAACTTTAATAAAACATAAAATACCTAAATATTGATCATTCTATGCTCCAAATTCTACCCTATGTACTAAGCTAATTAAGGGTGCCATATTTAAATTCAACCCAATTATATAAAGGATATAATATCATATCAATGCTATAAAATAAGTCTAAGCTTAAAGTTATAAACTAATAAGGATATGAAATGGCCCATCTAATCATGTGTTGAGCACATGTAATACTAACACTACTATATTATAATTATATCCAAAGCATGCATGTTCAATAATGGCAGGCATTCATGCTTTGGGTTCTAATTAGTACATTTGATAAGGCATAAAGATCTTTATTACTTATTGTAAATTTAAAATTGCTACTCGGTTAGATTCCATCTTGATTAATGAAGTCTCAATGGATGAAGCAATCTATGACTATTAATAAGAATTTTTTAGTTAGTTTTTTTTGGATAATCTCTACAAATTAAATGTATTAGGGCCCTAATTGCCATGGATGAAAAAAAATCTTGTGATCTTGATTGTGTGACTAATTAATACCCAAATCAAACCTCTCTCAGTAAAACTATTTTTGTTTGCCAAATTTGGTGTAATATCTCGTATTTTAACTCAGATAAATAAGTTTTTTTTTTTTTTCTGGAGTCATTATAAGTTTAAATCATAAATCCTTCGCCATAGCATTGAAATTATATTATTTTAATTACATGAGCTGGCCTAGATAACTGTAAGCATATAGTTACTCCTTTTCCCCTTAAAGTATCAATGGATGTTGCTACTCTTTCTTTGTTTGGGAATCTAAAATTGTATCAGCATTTGGTTGGTTCCTTGCAATATTTAACCTTCACTTAGCCTATATTTCGTACGCTATTAACAAATTATGCCAATACATACATGTGCTACTTCAATAGCATTTTCAATCACTCAAACATTTGCTTTGATACATTAAAGGCAATTTAGACTTTGGTTTGCCTATAAATTATGCTTCATCTACTTTGCATGCCTACAATAATTTGGATTGGGCTAAAGATCCGCTTGATATAAAGTTTATAACATGTTACTATTTATTTTTTGAAAATACACTCATCGCTTTTTGTGTTAAAAAACATCTTATCGTTGATTATTCTTCAACCGAAGCTAAATACCAAGCTTTAGCCACTACTGCCACTGATACCATTTGGATACACCGTCTGTTAAATGATCTTCAATTCCCAATTTCCCAACCAACTCCTTTATGTTGTGATTATGATTTTTTTATTGCTCTTGCTGATAATCCTATTTTTCATGCGTTAAATAAACATATTAAGGTGGATTGAAAGTTTGTGAGGGGTGTAAAACTCTAAAGAACTAGTCATGAGGCTAACCAAGAGAGGGGGGGGGGGGGGGGGGGTGACCTACGTCCACTCCTTGGAGGCATCCTCTGAGTATTGCACTAAAAAAAACTTTATTTCAACAAAAATAAAAATATTCTTCTTAAAGATTTTTCAACATCTGAAAATAGATAATCAATACAACGTAATATCAATCACAGATTTTCAACCAAGAAGTTATATCCAAAATAAATGTGGAAAATAAAGTGATGAAAAAATAAAATCAGAAAAAACATGGCCAGATTTATAGTGGTTCGGTCTAACCTGACCTACGTCCACTCCTTGGAGGCATCCTCTGAGTATTGCACTAAATCTTTTGTGATTCTCCTTTAGCCCACACAGTTAGATGGAGAAGCCCTCACAAAATTACTTCCACCTTTCCTGATACGGTGGAGTAGCTAGGTCATTTGACACCAAAGAGATCTTCTTTTTCTCAAAATTTCCCTCAAGACGAACCTTGAATTCAATGGTACTAAGGTGCAAGTTTGCCGGAGCAACCGTGTGAAATCCCCTCCATACTCCCTTGAAACCCCCATACAAGGATCTTCTCCTCTAAAACTCTACCCTTTCCTCTTTTCCTTTTAAGTTATGTATTTAAATTTTCTTCAAAAGAATAAATACACAATAGCTGTCAAAGACACTTACCAAGTGTCTTAACAAAGATTAAATAGAGGGTTTCAGAAATCCCTAAAAACTCAATTCTTAACCAAATATCATCGTGTACGATCGCAAGATTGTTCAGTATGATGTGCAAAATTTGACCTGATAGTTATGGACGATCTCCGAATAGTCCAGTACGATCAGTTCAAATTTGTACAGATCATCCAATATGATATTGAGATCGTCCTGGATGATTAGTTCATTCGAAATTCAATTCATGTAGGATGAAATATGGGACGACCAAAATTCATCTATGTTGATTGTATTGTATGATTCTGATTGTACAATATAATTATAATATCAAAATTAAGCAAATTCGATGGCCTAATCAAAGGATTAATTTAGCTATAATTTTATAGATTGTTTAGTACGATGTAAATCGTCCTGGACGATTAGAACAAAATATGAAATTCAAAATCTTGCATAAATTATGATTGGCGGTTATCTTTCATAAGCATAACTTATCATCCTGGATGATCTTGATCGTCAAGTACAATTAATTATATGAGTTGATCATATAGTGCGATATAAATTGTTTAGTATGATTAATTCAAAAATTGAACTTCTAGTTTTTAGATAATCTCACTCCCCCTGAGTTTGTGTCTATGCATGGTCACCAAGCAAGCATACAACCTTACATGACTTGTTTCTAGAAATAAAAAATACATAAATGAATATTACAAATTAAAAAATTATTATAGTATAACCTATTATATCCAATCTTGAGTATTGAATCTTTGTTGGATGGTGCATGGTGTTCCTGAAAAGTCAGTACACATACAAAAATATATTATAAATACAAATAGATAATAGGATGTGAGCCACAATGTTTGTTATAATAAAAAATTTAAATTAGTGAGCTCGAGTTGCAACATGATTATCATATTATTTTTAGATTGCATCAAGAATAATTTAATCAATATTCATCACATCAACACCCATAATCAAATTATGGATATCTTCACTAAAGTACTTCATAAGCTGAGGTTTTCTACTCTTCGTGACAAGCTCACAGTTTCTCCAACCACATTCGCTTGTGAGGGGTTGTTAACGAGCTCTAGCAAGTAACACTAAATGTAGACCACGTGTCCAGAAGTCACTCCGTCTGCAGCAACGCACCTTAGCCCTACTGATTATTAAATCATCACCATCCAGTTCACTGTCATGTTAAAACTACCTCTGATACATGTTGATTTACACTTACCCAGCTGACATATATACCATGTACTTCTCATTGTATAGCATTGAGGAAATTATACTTGAATCACCTTTACCTCTATTACAGTATTACTTATCTTTCTATAATATTTTCAATACATTTATTGTAGCAGTAGTTTACATAACCAAGAGGAATGCATTGCTATTGGTGCTTGACATTAGACTATTTTTCTGATGAGTTGATTGAGTCATCATCAATCTCTTTTCATTGAACCTATATTATTATTATTATTATTATTATTATTATTAGAGAGAGTTTGAGGTGTCAATTTCCTTTGATTTCATCTCCTTTTATTAAGACTTCATTTGAGACAGTTTTTTTACTACTTTCCAACTATAAAGCAGCCTTAGAAAGTATTAAAAAAGCCGCCCCAAACAAAACTCATGTATCATGAGGTGAAATGCAAGCATAAAACTAGATAAAATGTAATTTTTTTAATTTAATGTCCACCAAAATTAAAAATCAAAATTAAATACCATCTAACTCTTATTTAAGATTTTTTTTTTAAATTTAAAATGATGTTAAAATCAAAATTGTATTAGAGAAAAATGAGAAATTCAAATTCTACATATATCACAACACTTACCCATCAAACTTAGCCGGCTATTCAAATAAAAAAAAAATTAGAATTAGGACAACCTATTCAGATTATTTTTTTAATGAAAGCACACTTATATTCTTCTATTTTATATGTTCTC